CGCTGTGTTCCCTAGGATCACATTTCACTGCCAGATTACGAACTTTCTCTTGAGTGTAGCTACCGCAGAGCATACAGAACACTAGGGGCAGCTTCTCGTCACCTACTTGCGCACTAGCTAACTTGTGGCCGTGGTCGGGGGCCTCGGAGAGCAACCTGGTGAGGCTCCTCGAGAGTCCCATGCATCCAGCCTCTGGCCTATCTTGGAGGTTACCCCCCTGGAAACTTAAACATTTAGCGCACCTGTGGCCCCACAGCCAGGGCTCCCAGTCATGCCAGCTCGTGGCGCACGCAATGACCTTACGCTGGCGCTCACGCCGCGGTGGGCGCTGGTGGTGCACCCCCGGAAAACACGGCAACACATTCGCCACGAGGCGGGCCACCGTTTCGAGACTCTCGATCGAGCTGTCCAGCTGCTGCCAGTCGGCTGGTGAGGGTCTGGGATGCAGGTCAAGGGCTCCTTTCGCCTCTCGATCCGCTCGCCAGTTAGCCTGGCCGATCCACCGCTCAGGTGGGGGCAGCTGCTCGATGTCTTCTAACTTCCTATGGGCAGGGGTGTGAACAGCTGGGGCATACTCTTGATCCTTCATGTGGAGCAGGGCCCCCCTTCTCAACCCTCCATAACGTTGCTTGGCCGAAACTTGACATGACGGTTCCATGTTGTGCAGCTTGACGGCATTCATACAATCGCTGTATAACGTCGGTCCATGATTTGGTACATATATGGGAAGCAAGGCAAGCTGGAGTTGTTCTGCTGCTTGACTGGTTTGAGGTAAACTCGGCCATACAACTCCTTGTGCTACATACCGCTGCACACCCTCAGCATCGAAGAACACCCACGAGTAAGCCGCTCTCGAAAGCTCTCTGATTGCATGACGAGCGCAAGACCCGTCTCCAGCCTGGAAGAAGGAGGACCCATCAAACTGATCCCACTCCACTTTTTGACCACTCATATCAAAGAGCTCTGGCTCGTGCACCTCCGAGAGGTTCGGCCACTCGGCCGCTGGGTGCTGAAACTTGAGGGCCTCGAAAAACTGCGCGTCCCCGCTCTGGGCACGCTCGAGAAAGGCCGTGGAGACGTCGGCGGCCAGCCTTGCCGCAACGACCTCCGCGTGCTGGCAGGCGAAGATCATGTGACCTACCGAGTCGGGCGCCTGACATAAGGGGCAGAGACCTGGCGTGATGTACCCCGCCCGTAAAGCCCTGTCTTCGGTCCAGAGCCCTTCACAGAAACACGCCATCACTAAATATTTACCCTGGGCGTTGAGACCAATACCTTTAACCCCCGACTTGGTGATGCGACGGATAGGTTCCACACAAACTCTGGTCCCAGGGGTCCACCCAAGTTTCTTGCCCAAAACACGCTCGTGGTGTCTCTGGACCCCCAGGCTAAGCCAGTGCCCGACCATGGAGGGGGTGGAGTAAAGCAGGGATATCTCCACGCCGTTATCATCGCGCCAGTCCAGGGGGGTGTAGGCTTCCCACCCTATGCGCTGAAGGGAGAGGTGCATCCTACTGATCGGGCCTTTGCTTTTTGCCCAATCGTAGCCTGTGGGCGGGACGGCCCGCCACATGCTGCACAGCTCCTGAATCGAGAAAAAGGCGTGCTCGGGCCGCGTGGTAGCCGCCCACACAGCATGTGACCACGCAAGAGCAGGGGCAATCATGCTCCTCCACATGGGGTCGCCTAGGAGCGCCGCCTTGGCTCTCACGAAAACCCCCGCATGTCTCGGCGCCTGACACGACAACATCACGCTACGCGCGCGCTTAAGCTCAGCATCGCTCATGCCAACAACCGTGTCCCCGAAGCTCAGACCAGGCTTGACCCCCGCCGTGTAGATCTTGCCAATCCTGAACCGCTCCCTGGGAAGGGCCTTCCGATATTTACACCAGATACGGTGTCTCTTAAGCATGTCTTTCAACCTGACCCGTCGCTTGCTCAGGTGATCTTTCCTACTCCGTTCGCCCCCTGGGGCTAAGTCACGACCTAAGGTCACCATGTGGGTCCCAACATGCCCCGCCAGTTTCCCAAGCTGCTCCCCGAGGCGACGAGCGACACTGGGCGACGAACCAAAAGTCATCAACTTATACTGGGCTAGATTGACCCCGAGCTCCTGCTTGAAAACACAGCGCAGGTCCTGCGCCGCTGCGGCCAGAGAGTGGATGACCTCAGCCTCAGTGCCATACGACGAGACCGTGTCATCGTCCACGTACGACGCCAAATATATGCTGGGGTTCCTCTCCACAAATCCGTCGAAAGGCTCGAGCGCATACACTCGCACAAATATATCGTTAAAAATCGACCCTGCTGGCAGCCCGCTTTCAGCGTGCAACACCGCCAGCGCATGATCAGTACCTAATCGCAAGATCCGAGGGCCTCTCCAGAAGTTGAACGTGACTTTCAGCACCACAGGATCGAGGCCCGCTCTCTGGCCCCTATCACGGAGGAGTCTCAAATTGAAACTCTCGTAGTACTTGGGCCCATCCCAAGAGAACCCCGCAGTGACCCCACCATCGGCCACTCGGGCCTCCGCTTTAACCGCCTGGTTCCACACACTGCCTTCCGCCGACTTCCCCGCTCCGAAAGCCCAGTACCTACGCGGATGTCGGTCGTTGAAGGACGTCAGCTTCGGTCGTCGGAGCCGTTCCCAAAGCCTAACAGGGGAGGAACACAACAAAATCGGGCGCAACCCACCCTTCGGCTTTTCCAGGAGGGGGAAGAGCATCCAATACAGCGCCCGAGGGAAGAGCCCTATCTTCTCCACACACTGAAAAACGCAAGCCAGGGTGTCGAGGCCCGCGTCCGACATGCAAGCGAACTGTCGCACGTGCACTCCATCAAGGGACTGAGCCGTGTGCGGCGAGAACATCTTGGCTGCGGCACGCAGCTCCGCCGCGGTGGCTCTCTCAAAACAGTGCCTATCTGGGACTTCAACAGGGGGTGGGGTGGTGGTGGCATTCCAGAACCCTCCTAACACGTTGGCTTCGTGGGCCAGTAAATCGCGCGGGTCCGACGTGAAGATCCCTGGGCTGGTTTCTATCACCGTCGGTTGCCACCTGGCCTTCAACCTCGTAAGTCGATGCATCTTTCGGGCAGACCCCGCCAGGGCTTCCGTCTGCCACTGGTCCCAGTTCTGCTTCGATTTTTGGTCCAGCCCATCACGGGCAGCTTGAAAATCATCGGCCCAGTCTTCTCAAGTTTCCGAGCAATGATCGATCCACCCAGCAAGGGCCACCATGTCCTGCGGCCAAGCCGCCGCCATCTCACGCGCCTTGCGGACAGTGGGATCCAATCCCGGAGACAAGCCCTCCGCTTCAAACGGCTGAGAAACAATCTGCACAAGGTTACGAGCTGCCTGCACTTCACTATGATCAACGAACTTGTCAGCCTGCGTGAGAATGCGCTGACTGGTGTTCCTAAGGTCTGTCATCCCCTGTTGCAGCCACACCCATCCCTCTCCAATGCGCACATCGTCCTCTTCCTTGCACTTCGGGGGGGTCATCACAGGCACCCACTTAGCCTGAAGCTGCTTACCTTTGAGCCCTTTACGTTTTATGGGGGTGCCCGTTCTGCTTTCTAACTCTAACTCCATCGTATCCGAGAAAACTTTCCAAGCTTGGTGCAGGACCCCCCAAACTAAACCGACATCCCCGTGGTCAGCTCTACGATTCGCCTCTTCGGCCACAGCTCGGGCCACGGACCAATCGATCGGCGGTGGGGTGGGGCCAAAGGGCAGCTCAACTGGAAGTTTCTGGTGAGTCTGGTACACCAGCTGCTGCAGCTTGGTTGCCCCAGGCCTTAAACGAAGCTGAACTGGGCGATGGGGCCGCTTCGGCCACGTAGTGTCGACCTCGGTGGCCTCCACCAGCTTGCAGAAAGCCGCCGACGCCATGAAATAATCGATCTTGGTGTTTGCTTTCGGTGTTGCACACGTTTCGATACTGGGCTGCAATATCATCATGGAGGCCTTGCGAGGCATGCCAGACGCCTCTGCCACTACTGCTGAGAAATTCCAATCAGCAGCAAACACCGAGAGATGTACACCTTCTAAAACTGCAGCTGCATGTCTTAAAATCTGGAGGTTCCGCTTGCTCAGACCCTCACTGGTGAACATGTACGCGCAACCAGCAAGCAACTCGGGCCACCCTGGAATGTCGATCGTAGCAAAGATCAGCCTGTGTTGGATAAGTATACCTCTGGGCAACTTCGTGGGCCACCTCAGGCCGATAGACGTTCTCGCCAGTATGGCCACTCCAGCCGACGTCTGACCACCCGCGCACTTGACCGAAGGGGCGCAGAGCATGTTCCAGCCTAAACTCTTAGCTGTCGAAGTTCTCGTCGCAATATCCTCTTCGGTAATACCTATTTCCTGTGCAAACACCACAAGAGCCTGTGTACTCATCAGTCTCTTCTTGAGCGTGCCCCAGCTGTTCCCATTATACGATTCAAACACGTGCGCCTGACCCTCCAGGTCAGCAGGGGCGGCGGCTTTAGGCGGCAAGCCTACTCCGTGGGCCGAAACACGCAAACCAGTGCACTTGGGCCCCAGGTGGAGCTGCACACGGGCACTGTCAAGCAAAACTGATGGCTGCAAGGACTCAGGAGGCCTCAGAAGTTCTGGCACGCCGTTGTGCCTGACGACTCGCACCTCGTCGAACTCACCGAAGTTGATACCCTGGCCGTGCTGCAGCACGTCCAACAGGTACCACACCGCCTTCAGGTCCTCGAACGTCTGTAGCCTGAGCCACTCCTCGTCACAAGTAACCCCGAAGAAATGTACAGCGTCACCAGGTAAGGCTTGGGAAACATCTGACATTTGATCGTCAGTAGCCTGTCTCTGATGAAGCACGTCGCCAGGAGCATCTGGCTTGCGTCTGACACCCTCAGATCCCGTAGAACCTGAGGTATGGTTTTTCTCACTGCGTGGAGCAAAAGGTTTGGATGAGAAACTCGCCATCGGCCTCGTCGAGCCACGCCACCTAGCCCAGGACGGGTAGTGGCTAAAGCTGCGGCGTGGTCTTCGGCTTCTTGAGCTTGGCGCCCACAAGGGCTTGGGTGAAGGCTCGCTTATCGCCGCGGTGCTTCTCCCAGAAAGCTTCGGCAGCTGCTTCGTCTTGGAAGGCATCATCCATCTCCGCGTCGTGTGGCGTGGGCACATGCTCAGCACCGTTGGCGTGGGACTCAGATGCATCAGCGCCAGGATCAGCAGCGGCACGATGCACCGCGAACAACTTAACGAACTCCTTGAACCCGGCCGTCTCGAGCATCGACTTGATCGCGCCTTTGCCTTCCAGGGCCTCAGGAGGGAGAGACAGATCAACAGGCCGCCTGTAACCCCCGTCAGCAGCTTGACCAGGAAGTGACTGCACATGCTGCCGTTGCAGTTCAGCCACCTCAGCCTCCGCTGCGACCTTGCGCGCCTTGATCTCGTCCGTCTTGGCACTGAGCTCGTCGAGCAACTTGTTATGCTCCTCAAGCTCTGTCGTGACCTTCTCCAACTTCGTCGTAGCCCGAGCCAATCGATGCCCCACATTAGTGCGCTGCGTGATGCTCGACTTCTTGCTCTCGATCTCCGCACGCACCGCCCTGAGCTTGTTCTCCAGGAGCGTCCGTGCCTCGGTTGTGTCGTCACCTTTGCCACAGGCCTTGATCGCACACTCGAGCTCGAGTACGCGTGCCTGTAGTGGATCCTGTCCGTCACCACCGCCTCCTCCATTGGACTGTGCGCCACCATGCTGACCAGGTCCCTGTCCAAGAGGAGGGGCTCGGGCAGACTTGGCGCCTCCACCGATGAACTGGTCCAGCTTCTTCTGCATCTCGGCCAGCTGGGACTCCAGTTTGGCCTCGCGCCTTGACCCTGCGGCAGGTTGACGGCTGCGCCCTGGATCCATCCGAGCAGGGCTCCCGCCACCGTTGCCAAAGGCCTTGGCGCGCTGCAGCACGAACGTGGGGGCCTTCGCCCCGCAGCGGCACCGCAGCCTGCACGCCCAGTTGCTGGTGAGCCCGCAGCTCTGGCAGCCCCAGAACGGGGTCTTGGGGCCGCGGACCACATCTGCACCATCCATGAAGGCCGCCGCACCGCTGCGCCCGCGACCGCGTCCCTCGGAGCGCCGAGGGTCGAAGGATTGCACCGCCAGGTGCTCACTGAAAGCTAGCTGAGGCAGCCAGGCTAATGGAAGGGGCAGCCCTTCCACCTCAGCCTCGAGCCTCTAGAGTCGGGACGGGAGGTAAGCTCCGTCTTGAGCCAAAACGGCTACGGGCTCTTCCCTCCAGGGTCCCTTGAGGTCGATCTCCTCCAAGCCGAGGCGGTTCATCTCCTCCTGGACTACGCTCCTCGTCTCCCGGGAGATGAGGTCCATGCTGCTATTGTGCTTGGTCCAAATTCCCGCCGCAACCGTGTGGAACCCGTGGCGGGTCTCCAGGAGTTGGAGGAGGCGCAGTCCGTAGCGGGCGAGGCGGTTCTTCGCCGTCCGCTTGTTGAGCCAGATCTCCGTGTTGGTGTTGTCCGTGACGTAGAGGACCAGGCGCCCCTCCCATCTCGGGGCCTGGGCCACCGCGAGCACCAGGAAGGTAAACAGCTCGCAGATGGCGATGATGTCGGCTCCCTCCCCAAAAACCGCGTGGAACGGCTCCATGACCTCCTTGACATCCATTACCCCGTACACCCCGTTTGACCAGTCGGCGGCCCCCACCCGGGTCTCGGTGGCGCCCCCTCCGGTCCAGACCAGCTCCTCCATTCCGCCGGGGAGGGCGAGCCGCTCCTGGGGTTGGAGGACCCCCTTCAAGCCTGTATTAAAGTGGGTGGTCCAGGCCTGGGGCGCTCCCGCGTATAGGCGGAAAACTTCCAGCGCCTCCCGCCACTCGTCCCACGCGTCCTTCTCCCTCCCCTCGCTGTTCTCCTTGATCTTGACCCAAACCCCAGCCGGGTCCGCAGCGCGGAGGAGCCGGTCTACCGCCCCCAACTCGGGGCGGAGGGGGGGGGGCAGGTGATGGCCGCGAAGTTGAGGGTGCCGCGGAGGACCTGGACATCCTTCAGGGCTACCTGGGTGTTCCCCGTGTCGTAGGCCGGGTCACTCAGCAGGATCCGGATCTTGTTGACCTTCTCCTCGGGGAGCCGCAGGGTCTCCTCCTCCGTGTTCACGTGGACCCCCCAGCAGATCTGGTCCACGCGGAACTCTCCCTCCTCGTCCTTCTTCTCCGCGTTGATCGCAAGAGGGCCGAATACTCTACGGGCCCCCGTCCTCGGCAAGCCTAGCGGCCATCCAGGGGCGCCGTCCCAGGAGGGGCTCGATGAGGACGTCGTCGTCCACGAGGAGGTGCGAGTGGTGGGGCACGTCGTCGTGCCATCCTGGGCCGGCCGGCCGGTGGCGGTCATGGCACTGCTTCAGGGCCGTCCCGAAGGCCATGTACTCCCCCGGGCCCCCGATCCACCCGAAGGTGAGGACGAGGTAGATGGCCACCAGGTTGCCCTCCATCCCAACCACCTTGCCAGGGAGCTCCGTGGCGAACATGCCGGCATCCTCCGCCCGTAACCAGATCCAGCGGAAGGCCTCCGCTATGTCCCGCGTGGCGATCAGGATTTTTACCCCCGGGTGCCGCTCCTTCCACCAAGTGATCTCTGTCGCCAGTCCCCGATGGCGGGGCTGCAAGGCTGGGGGGTGGAGGTACTTGTGCCCCGTCTCGTTCATCGCCCTCTGGTCGTGGATAAACCTTCCTTCCTCCGAGATCGCGCGGTCGGGGTTCATCTTCGGCACCCTTCCCCAGGGGGAGGAGAGGACCCCGCTTAGGTAAGGTCCCGAGTCCTTTCCGCAGAGGAGGACCCTCCCCCTCTTGGCGTCCTTCCACAACTTCTCCATCGCCTCCCCCATGTGCCCCTGCACGCTCATGCGTGGTTTGGAGGGGGCCCGAACCTGGGCCAGCGGCTGGCGGGCGGGAACCCCGCCCTTCACCATCTGGTGGAGGTAATCCCTGAGGTCGGGGTCGAGCAGCTCGCATAGCTCATCCTTGAAGACCCCGTCCAGGTTGTTCCCCCACCGGCTCGTCCAGGCCTCTCGGTAGCAGTCGACTGCTTCCTTCCAGCCCCCCGCCGCCTGGACTAGGCCATCACCGAGTCGGGCCCCCTCCTTCACAACTTCGGGGGAGTACTTGGGGTCGTCCGCACAATGAGTGCACAGCTCCTGCGCCCGGTCCTGAGCGGTTCGGCCCGCTCTTCCCGGCGCCTGGTTTCCCGATTCCGCCCCGCTTTCCAGGCTGCCAGCTGCCCGTTGGGGAGGCATCCAGGGCCCCTCTCCCTCCCCATCTTGGCTCCCTCCCGCATCGTCCCCTTCCTCTCCTGAGGGCCTGAGTTTACCATCTCCCGTGGCCCCCCCCCCCCCTCGAGGGCGTGGCGGGCGGGTGTTTCGTGGCCGCCCAAATGGCCAGCGCCACGGCGCGGGCGAAGCGCGGGGGGCATTGGGCGGCTTCCCTTGTCCGCTTGATGCCTGTCCCTGGGACGTTATCCCTGAGCTCCACGTGCTGGTGCATCGGGGAGAGACCGGGGCAGGGTCTCCGGAGCTTCGCGAAGAAGGGGGCCAGGTTCGCGGAGACGACCAGCCAGCACCCCTTGCGATAGAACTGATGGGGGGGCGAAGCGTCTCAGGGATGGAGGCCCCAGGCGCACATCGTTCCCGGGATGATCACGGCACCGGTCTCCTCCAGGATTTCCAACCCTGGGATATATCCCTCTGTGCTCCTGGTTCTCGAAGATCCATCCCTTCCTCCATTTATGAAGGTTCCGTATGCACCTTACCGTGGTCTGGGAGAGGGCGTTTCCCAAGACCTCCTTGCCGTCTACACCGGTCCCCTCCGGCTTCTCCCAGGTGCGGGTGCCCCCTTTGATGTTGTGGTCGCAGAAGGAGGTACACGGGTTTTCGAACATCCACACGTCGGCCACTCCCGGGCCCGGGGGAGCATCTGCTTCTTTGACCAGGGCCTCGGCGACGTCGGAGTTCGAGAGGTCGTGGTCCTCCCTCCTCTCCGACTCCTTGGGGTGCAGGGGGTTCCGGCACAGCTCCACAGGCTCAACCGCTTGGATGCCCAGCTGCTTCGCCGCGCGGGTCACCCCCGCGGTTCCCGCGAACACTTCCTTGAAGCGGGGTCCCCAGCGGAAGGCGGGCGCGCCCCCCAAAGCTCCGGGGTGCTCCGAGACGAGCTCCTCCCACAGCTGGAGGGCGGCCCTGATTGCGGGTGCCCGGGCAGGCTCTGCCGTTGCAGCCCTCCGGCCAGCCCTGAGAGCCGCCTCCCTCGCCGCGGGGCGCTCCTCGCATGCCTGGCACTTGACGTAGGTGCTCCAGGAGACCTCCGTGCCTCGGGCGTCGCGGTTGAGGAACTCCTCCCAGCCATTCATGATCGTGGCCTCCCTCCGAAGAGTCTGATGGAGGGCTTTCAGGCACGCATCCCCTTTCGCTTCTCCCGATGTCGGGGTTCGGGGGCGGAGGGCGCGGGCGTGCCCCCGGTGGATCAACATCCAGGCCTGAGGTGAGCCCTCCCCGGAGCGGGCTCCTTCCAGAAGGTGCGCGGTCACTTTTCCACCGTAGTCCATCATCACGACGTTTAGGGCGACATCCTCCAGGAGGCGGAGGGGAAACACGACCAGGGGGCGGTAGTCCTTGTCGTGGTGTGGGGCGGCCGCGTCGTGGATGAAGATCCGGAGGTCCGCCTCCCCGACCACCAGCTTGGCCTCCGGAGGCCCCAGTGATTCTCCCGCCCGAACTGCTTGGTCCAGCTGCTCCGCTCTGGCCGTGAGCGCGCGCGCCCAGACCTCCGAGAGGCTGGGCGGCCCCCTTCCCTCACGGGCCCAGAGGGCGGCGCCCACCGCGCTCAGGAGGATACACTGCTTTCTCTCACAGTCCTCCTGGATGCCCAAGCGCTCCGCGAGGAGAGGGTCCTCTCTGAGGGGGAGGCGGTCGTGGAAATCGAGCACGTCCCACTCCCCTCCATCCATTTGGAGGGCCCCCCGCCCTACCCCGTCCCCCTCGCCCGGGGCTTGGAGGAGCCGGGCGTGGCCCCTGCGGGGAGCGGACGCCCCCCCCCGGGCGCCGCCGGGCTCAGGCGCGAGCCGATCGAGGCAGTCGGCGGCTTCCCTGGCCAGCTTCCAGTTGGGTCCGTCCACGATCCTCCGGAGCACGGCAAGCACCCCTTCTGTCGCCGTCGAAGCCAGGTGCTCCTCCAGGAGGTGGTTCTTGACCGCGGTCTCCAGGTGCCGGGAGGGCCCCCCATTGAGGAACTCCCGCACATCGGGGCGCGCGTTAATGGCCTGCATTCCGGCCTCCCGCGCCTCCTCCTCTGGGTCGTCCGGGTCCCCCACTGGGTTGAGGCGATGCGCCTTATGGTGGTTCTCGGTGAAGCTGAAGTCCGGACCGTTGCAGTACTGATCCAAGACGTCTTCCCGCCCGGGGAAGGGGGGTGAACCAGTCATATTCCCCCCTGGTCGGGTCCCAGGCCCGGACGTGCGTGGGTGGCTCGTCCCCCCGCCCGGTTGAGGGCCCCCCATGGAGGGCGGCCAGCCGCGCCGGTTGATCCTGTTCCGCCACCACGGGCTGGTCCTTCCAGCCCCCTCGGCGCACCAGCTCCCCCATGAGTGGGGCCGGCAGTCCCCGAGCGGGTCCCAAGTCGCAGTGGGCGTGGGGGCAGACCCCCCCCCCTCCCTCGCACCCCCGGTGGCTGGCGTAGTCCCAGCAAAGCAGGAGCCCCCTCTGGCCCCTGGGAGTAGCCCCCCGCGCCAGTGCCTTCCGCACCGCTCGGGCGTAATCCGGGGCTGTGGAGGGGGGGAGGGCTCCCGCCACGGGGGCTGTCCCCTCCCCTTCCCCCTCGATCCCCGGTGAAGGACTTCCTGGCTGACCTTCCTCCGGCCCCTCCTCCCGCAGTGTGCCGGCGGCAGTTTGGGCGGCGTGGAGGCAGCCACCCAGCATCTCCCCCTCCTCCGAAGTGGCGCTCTGGCTTCCCGCTCCGCCCCTTCCCGCCTCGAGTGGCGCGTCGGGGACCGGGTTGTCCCCGCCAGCCCGGGCGGCCGCCTCGTTCGGCGCATCCAAGGCCTCCTGGGTAGGGGGAATCAAGTAGCGGATCTCGCTCTCTTCGTCGGCCAGGCAGGTGTGGTTCTCGTTCAGCACGAAGCCTCCCGGCGGCGCGCTCGCCGAGCGAGGCTGCCGGGCTCGGCCTCTGGTGGCCCCTTCCCTCCCACGCGAAGGGGGGGGCTCCGGCGACGCCTGCCTCGCGGCCGGCCCCACCTCGTCTTCTTCCGGGCGGGGGCTCAAGGCGGCGTCCTACTCCAGCTGGGGTCCACCGGCGGGCTTGATGCAGGGAGGGCCTCCTCCTCGTCTCCCTCCTGCGCTCCTCCGCTCGTGCGCGGGTAGGCGCAAAGGAGAGCGTGGCCGAGGAGGGGGGAGGGGCCCTCGGCGGGCGGCCCCCGATTGGCGTTTGGAGGGGGGCGCAGGAACGCGCCAGGCCCGAGGGGGGGTTCTTCCCACCCACGTCCGCCCCTCGGACGCACGGACCCGGGCCCCGGGAGGGTTCCCCCGCCCCGAGACTGGCAGGGTCCGATCCTCCCCCGACGAAGGCGCGGGGCAACGATCCGATGGTAGTACTCCGCGGGGTCCTCGACGACGAACGTGCGGGGGATCTTCACGCGGGCTCTCCCGCGCACATCCGGGGCTGTGGCATAGGCCGTCAACTCCGGCAGCGCGGTTGGGTGGGAGCCAATCTCGGCCTCCACGGACCGGAGCTCGTCCCGCATCTTCGCCCACCAATGCCACGTGAGCTCCTCCCAGACCTCCATCAAGTCGGCGAGGGACAGGTACTCCGGCCGGTCTTGATGTTCGCGCAGCAAGAACCGTAGGGCGGTGGTCCTGGGCAGTGAGTGCTCCTGCCCATAAGTCAGGGCGAACACCCGGATCTGCGTCTGGGCGGCCTCCGCCCACGTGCCAAGGTCTGCGGGGGCCGGCGAGGGGGGCTCCCTCCTGTGTCCTTCCGCGGCGACGAGGGGCCCGGCGTCCGCACCGCGAAGTCGGCCACCGTGAGGGCGTTCGGGTCGGCGGGCCCCGCCTTAGGGGCACCCATCAGGCAGGCCGCCAAACCATACGCAATCCGGTTGCTGAGCGGGAGGGGCCAGCCGACCCCCTCCAGCAAGGCGAGGGCCCCCCGGCCATGCCCGCGCAGGGTCAAATAGAGCTCCCGCCCAAGATGGGCAGGTCCCACGGCCACCTGGAAGGTGCCGCATCCCCGCGCGAGGTGGCATACCCTCCGCGAGGCCCCTTGGAGGTACATGAGGTCCCCCCCCCCGCCCTCTCCCCTCGCGGGGGGACGGTGCGCCCGCAGGGGCGCGGGAACGGAGGAACCCTTCCGTTTCCTTTCTCCGGGGACGACGGCCTGAGCCGATTCGGCGGGGTTCCCTCCACCGGCTGGAGGGCGCGGGGGCTCTCCCCCCGCCTCCATGGGGGCGTGGGGCGGGGGCCCTGGGGCTTCAGCGGCAGCTTGGGGGAGGTCCCCCGCGGTCGGAGGGCGAGGGCCCGCGCCGCGCCCCCTGCCCTTCCCCCAAGCTCAAGTTGGGCAGTGACCTCCTCCAGCCGAGGACGCATCGAGGGGAGGAGGAGCGGATTCTCCAGGTGCTCCCGGGCCTGCTCCAGAATCGCGGTCCGCACTCGGCGTGGCTTCCGGCCCACGGCTGCCGCCGCCTCCAGCATCTTCGCCCCCGTCGGCTTGCCTGGGGCACCCGCCTGGAGGTACAGCCCCAGCTCCGTGCTGTTCGGCTCCATCACCGGCGTTCCCCCCGCTCGGCGCCCCGGGGCGTGGCCCCTCCCCAACCTCAGCAGATCTTCCTTGCTTGAGGGCGTGTGGGGCAGGCGGGCGATGCGACCGCCTCGAGGGGGCGGGGAGGCAGATCTTCTCTCCGCGCGCAGGATGGAGCGCGGCTCCCCAAGGGCGTTGCACAGCGCTTCCCCTCCCCGAGCTTGCTGCCCGGGAGGGATAACCCGCGCGTAGGGGCGGGGAGGGCACCTGCAGGTCAGGAACTCCGCCCACTGCAGCAGGTCGGCCAGCGTACAGGGCTTCCCCCCGCCCTCACTTGCATCCCCCAGCTGGGCACAGGTGGCCCCCGTGATTTCCTGGGCGTCAAATGGGGGGCGGGAGGCGTTGAGGCGCCCCTCGGAAGAGAGGCTCCAGGGTCCCACCGCCCACAGCGGGAACGTCAGCTCAACCTCCACTCCTGGCATCCAAATCCCCGCCCAGTCCTTCTTCCCTCCTCTCCCCCGCGCCTCTCCCCGCCCTATCCCTCGGGCAGTAGTGTAAGCGCGGGCGCCTTCCCCGGTGTCGGCGGGCTCGTAGAGGCGGATCAAGTACTTCCGTCCGACCGTATCCTCCGCCTGGGTGGGGATGGTCGGAGGTGGCGTAGCCCTCCCCCCATTCACAGTCGCGGGGGCCTCCCCATCACCCTCGGGGGGGCCTTCAGACATGAGTGCGCCCGGGACGCCGTGCGTCAGCTGGCGGCAGTCAGGTCCCACCGGCACGCCAGGGGCGGCCGTGGGGTTGGGGGACACCTCACTGGAGGCGGCCGGCTCCGCGGGCGGGGGGGAAGGAGGCTCCCCGGTTGCCCCCGGCGCGGGCCCCCCCTCCGCAGGGCCCGCAGTGGGGACCGCGGAGGGCTCAGTGGCCGGCCCGGCATCACTTAGGCGCGCTGGGTCACGGGGGGGACTTGCCAGCATCCGCCCTTCCCTCCCCCTCTCGAGCAGGCTGCGGAGAGGGGTTCGCGCGCCTGAGGCAGAGGCGCTTCCCACCGAACCCGGGTTCCCCGATGTGCCAGCAGCCTGGCTCCGTGCACTGGAGGCTCAGGCGGAGGTTGTGGTACTCCAGGCCGTGGTAGCGGCATAAGCAGGCCATCGGTGCCCCTCCCCCGTTGCGCGGCCATCCCCGGGTGTCGGACGTGGGCCCGTCCTCGATGAGCAAAGGGGTGGGCGTAGGTCCCCTCCGATCCTCGCAAGTGCCATGCTTCTGGAGGCAACAGTACCCTCCCTTCGCGTCTACCCAGCCCACTGCTTCGGCCATGCAGGGTTCCCAGTCGTCTTCCTCCTGCTGAGGTCCCCGGGGGTTCGCGGTGACCTGGCGCGGCTCCGGCCGGTGCAGGCGGGCCCCCCTCCGGCAACAGCAACAACCCCGGGCCAGGAAGGACTGGGCGATGCGCTGGACCCCACCCCAGAATGCCCTCCAGAGGGTGCGGAGGCCGGCCAGGAAGGGGCTTCCCAGGTCCCTGTCCTCGGCGAGGTCGAGGATGGCCTTGGCGTCGACCGCGGTATATTTCCGGAAGTGCATGGCGAAGGCGTCCACGCTGGGACAGCTGTCCACGGGTCCCGCCCTGCAGAGGTGGACCACCTTGGTGTCCGCACCCTCCAGACGGCGTCGGAGGTCAGGGT